ATTATCAAGAGTTCATGAGGGAGGGGGGAGCGGAGAGGGAGGGGGAAAAGTGAGGACCTGATGCGGGGGCTTAGGTGGAGAGCAAATGTTTTGAGAATGATGAGAGCAATGAACGGACAAATGTGCTTTACACGATTGATGTATGTATGGATTGTGATGAGTTGGATGAGCTCCTAATAAAACGATTAAAAAAAAAAGTCGAGAAAAGGTCTCCACGCTGAATGAGACCTTCTTGGAGGGACTGAGGGCAGGAAAATCACTCATTAGCGAGTGGACGCCCATTAACGTGGGTGAGGGGAAGGCGCCTTGCAGTCAGGGAGGGCAGCACGGAGCAGCCGCAGGAGGCGCGCGAGCATGAAAGACAACCAGAGTAGACACCATTAAGACAGAGCCCAGCAATGACAGTAATAATAAGCAGCATTAATGAGTAAATACACCCACAAGCTGAGCAGATATGGGAAGGTGAAGGAAAGTGTACAGAGAAATATATGTGGATTTGTATGTCCTATAAGTAAACTCAGGGAGCCCTGGTGGCGTAGTGGGTTATGAGTTGGGCAGGGAACCACAAAGTCAGCAGTTCAAAACCACTAGCCGTTCTGCAGGAAAAACATGAGCCTTTCTACCCCTGTAGAGTTATAGTCTCTGAGGGAAGCAGGGGATCAAGGGGAGCTGATTTCAAAGAATTCAAGAAGAAAGAAAATGTTTAAAAATTGATGGTGGCAGCAACTGTACACTTACACTTGATCTAATTGAATTATGGATTGTTATATCTGTAAGGGTTCCCAATAAAATAAAAGTTAGAAATTCAAAAAAAGAGAATGTTTAAAAATTGATGGTGGCAGCAACTGTACACTTACACTTGATCTAATTGAATTATGGATTGTTATATCTGTAAGGCTTCCCAATAAAATAAAAGTTAGAAATTCAAAAAAAGAGCTACTAGTTTCAAAAACCCACAGGAACAGTTCTACCCTGTCCTATAGGGTCGCCGTGAGTCGGAAATGACTTGAGGGCAGTTGAGTTTTTACTGCACAACATATGAGGGGCAAAGTTTTAAAAAAACCCAACTTCTTAGCCAGGACCAATACTGAGAGTAGCCATACCAGGAGGGGAAGGGGAAGGTGGGGGGAGAAAGGGAAAACCGATCACAATGATCTGCATATAACCCCCTTCCAGGGGGATGGTCAACAGATAAGTGGGTAAAGGGAGCTATTGGTCAGTGTGAGACATGAAAAAAATTATAATTTATAAATTATCAAGGATTCATGAGAGAGGGAGGGAGGGAGGGAGAAGGAGGGGAAAATGAGGAGCTGATACCAAGGGCTCAAGTAGTAAGAAAATGTTTTGAGAACGATGATGGCAACAAATGTACAAATGTGCATGACACAATGCATGGATGTATGGATTGTGATAAGAGTTGTATGAGCCCCCAATAAAATGATTATAAAAACAAACAAACCAAAAAAACTTCTTAGCCCAAACCAAACACCTTGATGATGGGTTGGGGACTTAGGGCCATAGTCCTGTGTCCTGAGTCAATTGACATCTATTCTAGGTCATTTGGTATAACATGGTCCACAAAGGCAATGCCCCACATCCTGCTTTGTTAAGGAGTGGCTGGGGTCCTACAAGCCTGTAAGCAGTCATCTAAGCTGCTACGTTTGGTCTCTCCTCATCCAAGCCAAGAAGAGCTTAGAAAATCAAAAACTCAGGGAAATAATACATGTGACGGGCGAATGGGTCATGTGAACTACAGCCTCCAATATCCTGAAACCCGAAGAACTAGATAGTGCCCAGCTGATATCAATAAAACTCTCTGATTAGGGTCACAATAGAAGCCTGGATGGAGAGGGTGCAAAAAAAAAAAAAATGCTGAGAGGAGACGAGATAGTCAGGGTGCAATGTAGCAACAATAAAACATACAGCTTTCTTCTAGTTCCTAAATGCTTTCTCCTTCCCCCACTCACTATCATGATCCGAATTCTCCCTCTGGTTAGACCAGAGGTTGTACACTGGTACAGAATAGAACTGGAAACCCAGGGAACCCAGGGCGGATGATCCCTTCAGAACCAGTGGTGTGAGTGGCGATACTGGGAGGGTAGAGGGAGGGTGGGTTGGAAAGGGGGAACCAATTACAAGGGTCTATATGTGACCTCCTCCCTGGGGGACGGACAACAGAAAAGTGGGTGAAGGGAGACGTCGGACAGGGCAAGATGTGACAAAATAATAATTTATAAATTATCAAGGGTTCATGAGGGAGGGGGAAGCCAGGTGGGAGGGGAAAAATGAGGAGCTAATGCCATGGGCTTAGGTGGAGAGCAAATGATGAGGGCAATGAATGTACAAATGCGCTTTACACAATTGATGTGTGTATGGATTGTGATAAGAGTTGCATGAGCCCCTAATGAAACAATTTTTAAAAAATGGAGAACAGAATTCAAATTCGTAAAATGGGCAAGACTTACTGGTCTCGTAGACAGTAATGGAATCCATGAGTCTGTGGCCCTTAGACACCCTTCAAGCCTGGGACTGAACTCATCCCGTGGCTCAAATCACAGCCAAATACGAGAGAGCTCTACACTTAGTAATAACACGAGGGAGGGATGCGCCCGCAACACAGTCAACGGCAGGAGAGCAAAGGGAGGACATTTGCCCAAAAAAGCGGAACTGAGGGAGGAAGTAGGGAGTGTTTGTTACATTGTGAGGAGTGCAACCAGTGGGGAGAAACAAAATGTGTATACAGCTGAATAGATCCTAATTTGCTCAGTCAACTTTCACGCTAACTACAATACAAAGTTAAAAAAGTAAAAGAAACCGACTTTTCCAGGGCTGGGTCAAAGGAGGTAGGGGAAGGATGCAGAAAGGCAGTTATGTACGGGGATGCGGTAATTATCCAGACTCACACCATGGAAGCAGAGCCAGCAATAGTGGGTATGGGCCACATGTCTATCGTGAAGGGGGGCTTACAAACACCACACGGCACACAAAAAGCACAGGGGTTCGCTGCACCCTAAGACCTGCCCGCTACCCGAGACAGACGTTTCAAGAGCACAAACAACCCAAAGGAGGCGGGAGGGGAACGGGAGTGGCCACAGGGGATTCAAGTACCTATATAAGGTAACAGCCTTGTCCAGACTCATGGTGATCAGTTGCCATGAGCCTAGCCCTATGACCATCTTGACCCTCCGCAGGTGAGGCCAAACACACAGGAAAAACAGAGTAAAAAGCAAGGGGAGCCACACCCAGGGGCCTTGATGGCAGCCCGGGAAGCAGTCCTTTCCTCCACGCCACCGTGCACCTCTGCGGGCCGCGCCTAGAGGACACGGGCATGTACACGCTAGGGCAAGCGCCCAGGCGCAGTGCCCTCCAGAGCCCACAAACTGACGCATGCACAGGTCACCCACAGACCACCAGGGCATGCCACTTCCTGTGGGGCTCAGTCACACCCAGGTGCCCACCCTGAGGACATGCTGATACAAGGGCCAGCCTCCCGGATTGGGGCAAGACAAGGGCAAGGAGGTCAACACAGAAGAGAAGGGAACTCCTCTTTGCCCCGTGCTCCTAGTCACCATCATGAGAGAACTGGAATGAGAGAGAGAACCTGCTGGCCACAGGTTCAGGCTGCCCACCGTATGACCCACTGGTGCACTTACCTGTCTTCAGACATGGCCCGATTCTTCCTTCTCCTCGTTCCAAGCAAATTTCCTCAGCACATCAAAGTCGCAGTCGGACAGGACTCGGGGAAGGGGCTGTCTGCTGAAGCAGAGTAACACGAGTGCTGACCTACAGCCTCAGCCTGTCCCAGCCAGCACCTGCCCCCGCTGAGCAGCAGGCACCAGCGTGCCGGGCCATCCCTAAGCCATTCTACTCACAGACACCTGCCCACCCTGTCTAAGCAGGCCCTCTCCCCTGGGCCACAGTAGAGGGTCCCTAAGTGGGCTCCCTCTCCCCAGGCCCCACCGCCCGCCCATCTAGTGAGTGAACGTTCTAAAGGTAAGCCCCATCTTCCCTGGTGACAATCACGAAGCAGGGTTTGGACAAGACCTTGAAAGTCACATCTATTTTCCAGCCCATCTGCACTCGTCCCACAGTCTTGTCTCTGGCCCTTCTCCCACCTTCAAGTCTACTCATCGTTCACAGTCTTCCTCAAAGCGGACGGCCCAACCTCCCACTGGAGGCCAGGCATGGCCTCTGCCCAGCATCCAACCACAGAGGCCTCCTCCGTCCGTGCCAGACACTCTAACCTCGGGGACTCAATCCTCACAGGCACGGGCCAAAGCTAAGTCTTGTCTCCTAGCCAAGTCACCACCAGCCAGTGCGGTCACACCCATCAATGCAGGCACAGACATTCCCCAGAACACAGAAGGGTCCAGAAAAAGGTTGGAGCCAGGCCTCCAATGATGCCGCACCATCAAAAGGCAGTGGCGCACCCCCAGGGCCCTGGCAAGGCTAATAGCCATGGGGATGGGGCCTAGGGACACCCTCACTGGCCGGAGCGAGGACAGAGCCCCTGCTGGAGGCACCCGGCTGACAGGCATGAGATGATTCAGGGCTTCGGGTGACCAAGGTTTGTAAATTTCCGAGGAAGAAGACCCTATAGTCCAGAAACAGGAGATGGGCAGGCGAACCCCAGACCACTGCCTAGGCAGACCTTACAGGGAACGCGGAGGATGACAGTGGCAGGCTGTGGGCAGGCAAGAGATGTGTGCCCACGATCCTGGAAGCTGTCCAGACACAGAACAGAGATGATCGAGTAATGGTGCATCCTGGGGCCATCAGAAGATGACGGCCCAAGGCAGACACGCTAAGTGCCCTCCAGGAGAGGAGATGGGAGGCAAGCCTGGGCACATTCCTGCTCTAGGTGGAGGGAGCCCTGAGGCAGAGAGAGAGGAGACTGTCAACATTCCCAAACAGCCAGCCCACCACCTGCAAACAAGTGTTGTGGCCCACAAGACCCATCTGGCTCAGGTGAACCCACTCCCAGCAAGGCCCTGCAGGGAGCAGCTCTGGGCTGGGGCCAAGTGTTCACGGCACAAAGGCTCCACTTCAGACCCCTACATCTCTGCAGAAATCAGCAGCCCAGGGACCCCGCACCCACCCACAGGCTCACTCCAGGAGTCACCTGATTCTGATGCCAGGGCTCCCCTCCAGCTCTCCCTCCTCCTGGGGCCTCCAAGTTTGTCCCGGAAGTACACCACCCACCCAAAGACCCCAGGAGGCCGCCCACCACCGAAGAGTCATGAAGGCAGGGTGGGGGCCTCCCAGCCAGTACCCTCAAGCTGAGAGATGAGGCTTCCGGTGGGTGGTAGGGCCAGGCCTCCCCGCTGCCACGGCCCCTCACTGAGCCCAGACAAGGAATCCCCCCACCAACCCCCACCAGTGGAGACCCCCTGGAACATCGGAGGGAGCAGAGCCCTCCCCACCGGCCTGGGGCAGACAAAGGTGGTGGCCCCAGGGCTCTGGGCGGTGCCCTTCGTTCGGGCACGAGGGTGCTCGGCTGCAGAGGGGCAGTCCTCGCAGGGGCTCGCTGGCCACCTGGGCGTTCTCCGGAGTCGG